CCATTTTGAATGATAGCCTAGCTCAGTGGTCAGCAAACTCATTAGTCAACAGAGCCAAATATCAACAGTACAGTGATTGAAATTTCTTTTGAGAGCCATATTTTGTAAACTTAAACTATATAGGTAGGGACATTGTTATTAACTTAATTAGGGTGCTCCTAAGGCTTAGGAAGAGCCGCACTCAAGGGGCCAAAAAGCCGAATGTGGAAGTCCCAGGGAAGATCTCAGAGTTTATACAAACTGTGTTATTCACATCTGGCCCCCAAGGTATGAAGGGCAAACTTTAAACAAATCTTTTAGCTCATCAGGTAACAAAAGCACAGCCTCTAGCAAATCATGCTTGTCAAAGGTGCTTTTGAGAAACAAATATGCCTGTGACCTAACTCTTTGGGGAAACAAATAAACCTTGTGATCTACAAGCACTGGGAATAAATACTCAGGTGTCAAATCCTGGTCATCATCATAACCAAATGGTCAAAGCACAGTCTAGTAGTTTCACTCTCCCTCTGTGGATAAAGTTCGTGAAAAAAGAAAGCCTTTCCGTGTCACTGCACTGTCAGCCACACCGTCACTTCTGTATTTTCTGACTGCATTCTTGACACCTTCCAGAGCTGAGGAGCTGACGGAGAGTTGAAATAAATTCTCTGAAAGAAGTTGAGCTCAGCATCATTGAGAGTGCTGTCATTGTCTTGATCAGATATTTTAAATAGTACGAGTAAGGGCTTTTATACAGGCTGCCTACATCTCTTTCTCCTGTGGGCAGTAGAAGGGTCCTGCAGGATGAAGAACAGCTTTCTGGGCATAATAAAAGAGCTCTGATATGTTCTTCAGATTTATTTTGCTGAACATTCCATGCAGATTTCTATCTCGGTGTACTGGTTCCTAATAGAAAGGATGGTGTCCACACTACTATATCCCACTAGATCAGATTTGTTCCCAACCAATGTCAAAGGCAACCTGCTGTTTTTGTTCTTTCATTTATGAGAGGAATCCACCGACTTGTTACCTTATCAATAGAATGCTTGTTAACAGCATAAACTATGAAGATGACATCAGCCTGTGGTACTTTTTGAAGTTGTTCGTCATTCTGTTCTGCTTCTGAATAATCTAGGTGTGTGTTGGTGCTCTCTCAGGGGCGACATCAGCTGGAATAGTGATTTCTTCTGCCTAGGGAGGAACCTCTTCTGGGAATTCTTCACTGACCAGATGGCTTCCCAACTCCAGGTTCTCTTTCATGTTGGCGGTGGTGGCGGCGGCTCATAGGGGCCGGGCTGGCATGCAGTGGACTCCTCTCTCTGGGAGTGCCCACTCCTAGGCACTGCTCTCCCCATGATGCCAACGCTGCCTGCCAGCCTCCCCCACCCCCCAGAGCCTAGGCTCCCCTGCCTGCCAGGCCACCTCTTCTGCTGAAAACCCCCATTTTATAGATTTTCATAGGAGGGGTCTATTTGCTTCAACAAGTAGCCTCTATCCAGTTACCTGGAAACTTGAGGCAGCTGGCACCGATTTCTGATTAACGTGGTACTTTCTTGCCCCTATGGATGATGCCAGGAGGCACCTGTAGGTGCTGAGTTCCCCCTGGGTGCTGGGAGCCTGTTAGAAAGGGCAGGGTATCTGCAGGTGGGGCATGGGGAGCAGGAGCAGAGGGATCCCAAAGGTCACTATGGTGTGAGAGTTGCCTCAGCCTGAGAAGAGGCGAAGGCCGGGTGAGGGAGGCAATGGAGACCGCCTTCAACATGCATTAAACCTAGAATTCCATACAAGTCAAAACAGTAATAAATTGGAGTTGAATAAGTACCTTCAGACATGTGAGGGTTCAAAAACTTTAGCTTCCACCCTCCCTGTCTTAAGCGCTAAGGGGTGGGCTCCTGAGTGCACCAGGAACAAGCAGGCCCGGTTCCTGGGCCAGTTGGCTGTGAATCCCGCTGGGGACAGCGTTCCTTGGCTCCTGGGCTTCTGGATGCCCTAGGTGCCTCCTCAGAGCCACCACCATCTCTCACACTCCTTCTCTATGGCTGGCACAGCGTAGCTAACATTTGACGTGGTGAAGAGATGGTGTGGGCCGTAATTCGGGCTTTGTGCTGGCGTGGTCTGCCGCAGCGGCCTGCCTGGGAGGGCCTGGAAAGGTCTGACATTTTAGCAGTATGTCACCCTGGATGCCGGAGAACCGGGGCCAGGGCTCCGTCAAGGCAGGCTGCCCTCCGCTGAGGAAGCAATGCCTGCCCAGGACTGCGTGTCCAGCCCTCGTGCAGTGGCCCCGAGCTAGGTGGTCTACCAGGTCCCCCCTTTTTGCTCACATTCAAGCATCAGGCTGGACACAACGCTCCTTGGCCCCACAGTCCAGGACAATAGTGTTATAGGTGGTGGGACAGTTCCAGGTGTCTGACAGGCAGGGTCAGACCGAACCTGGGCTCAGCAACCTCGGTACTTGGGTTCTGGCTAGGAGAGAATTCAGAGCTAAGACTCCAACTGTAGGAAAACATTTATTTGGAAAATCACAGGTAGAAGCAATTCCTAAAAGAAATGGGCTCAGGAAACAAGCTGTACAGGTAAAAGAAGGGCCCTTGGAGCTTGGAGTGAGGGAGATGATGGGGGACAGGGAGGGAGGGAGAGGAAGCGGCAGGGTCCCCCTTCCCTGGAGGGAGGCGCTGGGTCCTCCGTCTTAGGGCTTTAGGGTGGAGACCTTAAGGGAAGTCCCAGGGAAGATCTCAGTAGAACAGTCAGCAGCTTTCCAGGTGTGTCCTTTCAGGGTCATGGTCTCCTAGATGGTCAGCGCCAGAGCGGGGGGTCATTACCCAGTGCAGCTGGGCCTGACGTCTGCCGTGGGGACACTGCTGGTTTTACCTCTAGGGAGGAAAGGTCAGGGGTCACGGGGGGAGGAGGGAGGTCCCTACAATGGATTGCCTGGCGCCAGGCACGCCCGTCCACTGCGACCACA